CCCTTTAGCATTTCTTGTAAGGCTGGCTTCTTGGTAATAAACTCCTTTAATTTTTCCTTGTCTTGGATACCCTTTATCTCTCCTTCCATTCTGAATGATAACCTTGCCCTGTAGAGTATTCTTGGCTGTAGATATTTTCCTTTCTGCACTTTAAATATATTGTGCCTCTCCCTTCCAGCCTATAAGGTTTCCACTGAGAAGTCAGCTGATAGCCTTATGGGGTTTCCTTTGTACATAACTTGTTGCCTTTCTCTTGCAGCTTTTAGGATTCTCTCTTTATCTTTAACTCTTGATATTTTAACTAAAATGTGTCTTGGTGTGGGCCTCTTTAGCTTTATCTTGTTTCGTGCTCTCTGTGCTTCTCATACCTGGGTGTCTCTTTCCTTCTTTAGGTTAGGAAAGTTTTCAACTGTTATTTCTTCTAATAGATTCTCTGGCCCTTTGTCTCTCTCTTCTTCTGGGACACAAAATACAGATGTTAGTGCACTTGATGTTGTCCCAGAGGTCACTTAGACTGTCTTTTTTCTTTATAATTCTTTTTTACTTTATCTTTTCAATGTGACTAATTTCCTCTAGTCTTTTGCCTAGCTCTCTGATCCATTCTTCTGCATCATCTACTCTGTTATTGAGTCCCTCTACTGAATTTTTCATTACCATTACTCTATTCTTCATTTCCGATTGGTTTTTGTATTTTCCAATTCTTTCTTGAAGTTCTCACTGAATTCATCCATTCTTGTCCGAAGATCATTGAGCATGCTTATGCCTATTAGTTTGTATTCTTTATCAGCTAGACTATTTATCTCTGTTCCATTTAGTTCTTTTTATGAGGATTTATCCTGTTCCATTATTTGGAACATATTCCTGTGTCTCCTCATTTTGCCTCTTTCTCTGTGCTTATATCTACGTATTAGGTAGATTAGCTACAACTCTCAATCATGAAGAGGTGGCCTTGTGGAAGAGGTGCCCTATGAGGCCCAGCTGTGTGCTTCCTTCTCATCACCAGTTCCAAATGTTCCAGGAGTTTGCCCTGTATGAGCTACATATGTCCTTCTGTTGTGGCAGGGTAGCTCTTGCTGCAGATGCATGGGGAGGCTAGATTGTCTCCCTGGCTGGCTGGTTGTAATGCTCAGTTCTGTGCAGCTGCAATGGTCCCTTCAGTCACTTTACCAGGCATGGGGAGCCCCATTAAAGCTGGCTGCAATGTCTAATAGCACATTTCTGCTGCAGTTTGTCTAAGTGAGTAGGCCCCCAGCATGGCTGATTGCTAGGCTCAGGGCTTACAATTGCTGTAGGCCTCAGGTCTGCAAAGCTATAGTCAGCTCTTTCAGGAGTGCAGCTGGGTGGGGCTGTCCAAAGGAGTGGCAGCATACAATTGTTTCAGGTGTTGGAAAGTGGGTCCAAACTTCTATGTGGCTGTTTGAGAAATATAAGTCTGCTGCAGCTGAGGAAACCATCAACAGAATGAAAAGACAACCTGACAATCAGGAGAAGATATTTGCAAACCATATATCTGATAACAGGTTAATATCTAAAATATATAAAGAACTCAGATATCTCAACCACAAAAATACTAACAACTCAATTAAAAAATGGACAAAAGATCTGAACAGACATTTTTCCAAAGAAGCTATACAGATGGCCAACAGGCACATGAAAAGATCTCCAACATCACTAATTACTAGAGAAATTAAAATCAAAATTAAAATGAAAATCAAAACCTTACACCTGTCAGAATGGCTATAATTAATAAGACAAGAAATAATAACCTTTGGAGAGGATGTGGAGAAAAAGGATCTCTCATACACTGCTGGTGGGTGTGCAAACTGGTACAGCCACTACGGAAAACAGTACGGAGTCCCTCAAAAAATTAAGAATAGAACTATCATCTGATCCAGCTATTCCACTACTGAGTATTTATCCGAAGAACATGAAAACACAAATGTGTAAAGATATATGCTCCTCTACGTTCATTGCAGCATTATTCACAAGACTTGGTAGCAACCTATGTGACCATCAATGGATGATGGGATAAAGAAGATGTGTTATACATACACAATGAAATACTACTCAGTCATAAAAAAGGTGAAATCTGGCCACTTGTGAGAACATAGATGAACCTTGAGGGTATTATGCTAAGTGAAACAAGTCAGAGGGAAAAAGTCAAACACTATATGATCTCACTCATAAATAGAAAATTAAAAACAACAACAAACAAACACATAGAGACAGAGATTGGATTTGTGGTTACCAGAGGGGAAGAGGGAGGGAGGAGAGTGAAAGTGGTGATTCATACACGTGTATGGTGTTGGATGGTAATTAGTCTTTGGGTGGTGAACATGATGCAGTCTAACAGAAATTGACATATAATGATGTAGATGTGAAATTTATATCATGTATAAACCAATGTTACCTCAATAGAAAAAATTAACAACAACAGGAAGAAAAAAGCTGAAGAAGTCCTGGAAATGAACAGGAAAAAATAAAAGGTAAACCTTTTCTTGATTTACACTGTACTTTCATACCTTGAATATAGACAAATTTTACACTTTCCCACTCTTTTCATATAGTATCACTGGTCCCCTTGCACTCTACCCTCTAAAATTCCAGTATCAACCCCAGTCATTTTTGTTGTAATTGTTTTTTTCTTTTAGTTTTTGGAATTTTTGAAGATAAACTCTTATTGAAATAGAATACACATAAAGACAAGTGTACAAATCCTAAGCATACAACTTGATGAATTTTCACAGAGTTAATACACCAGGATAATTAACACCCAGGTCAAGAAACATTATATTAACAGCACCCATGAAGCTCCCATCCTAGTCCCGATGCCTGCACAAAAGTAAACTTTATTCTGACTTCTAATAACATAGATTAATTTTGCCAATTTTGAATCTTATACATAGAGTCCTGTCACTTAACAACGGGGATATGTTCTGAAAAACTCATCATTAGGTGATTTGATAGTTATGCAAACATCACAGATTCTACTAACACAAATCTAGATAGTATAGCCTACTACACACTTAGAACATATGGTTCTGATCTTATACAACTGCCATCATATATATGGCCAGTCATTGACTGAAGCATCGTTGTGCAGAGCTTGACTGTAGAGGAACTCATTTGATATTTACTCTTTGGTGTCTGGCTTCTTTTATTCAACATTATAGCTATGAAATTCATCCCTGTTGTTGCATGTAGTAATAGTCTCTTAATTCTCATTGCTATATACTATTCCATTGCATGAATATATTACAATTCATTTATGCATTATACTGTTGACAATATTTGGGTAATTCCCAGTTTGGGACTACTAGAAGATAGTGCTTCTATGAACATTCTCAGACATATCTTTTGGTGAACGTATGATTACATTTTGTTGGGTATATTCCAAGGAGTGGAAATACTGGTCCATAGGGTATCCCTGTATGTTCACTTAAGTAGACACTGTCAAATCATTTTCCAAAGTGGTTGTACCAATTTATTCTTCATGTAGAAATGCAAGAGAAATGTAGTTTTTCAAAATTATGATCTGGGTATTACGTGTTATTTTTTATACCCCCAACTATTGCTCATCTAGTGTGTAAGAATCGGCTCTTTCACTGTTGCAGCCCAGATTTGTCTGCAAGTCAGGGAACCGCACCACCCATCAGTTGTCATACTGTGGCAGCTACATGTAACTCTGATGCTGAAAGCTATGCCACCAATATTTCAAATATCAGCAGGGTCACCCATGGTGGACAGGTTTCAGTGGAGCTTCTAGACCAAGACAGACTAGGAAGAAGGACCTGGCCACACACTTCTAAAAAAAAATTGGCCATGAAAACCCTATAAATAGCAGTGGAATATTGTCTGATATAGTGCCAGAAGGCGAGAGGGTGGCGCAAAAAGACCTGGCAGAGTTCCACGCACTAGGAGTGGAATCGACTTGAGGACACTAATAAAAATAACTGGTAAGAATTCTTATGACTATGTAAGCAAATATTCTTAGTCCTTATATAAATCTAATTTACCTCCAACTCTTTTCGAATAACGAGGAATTTATATGCTTTTGTAGACAGAATATTGTTATGTTTCATTGACATTCAACGAATTCTAATATGGTCACACTGTGCACTTATACAATCATTTCTGCCTCTACATGATACTAATTGGATACCTTCCAAAAGACATTAGACCATTCACAGTGTTTGCTGTCTTAAATGTTACATTTGCCAAAGACTTCCTAAAACCCAAAGTTTGCTTTTGTTTACAGTGATTAAATGTACTTCAGCTCTTCTATTTTTTGGTGAATAAGAAGGCCTTTCTTTTGTTATATATGCCAAATTTTGCTAGATGCCTTAGCAAAGTTACAAAAAGTAAACTATTGAGTATAAATGAATCCATTTATAATTTCTTTTCTTGCTCCAAGAAAAATAAAACTCAGAAGCCTCTAGAAATGATGCTACGACTGAGAAGACAAATATATGGGGAGGAGAGTTAGGGGACTGAGGTGGGAAAGAATTCCCAATATTTAGGAATAGGTACTTTTCAATATCTCTTAGGAACACAATGTTTTCCCCTTGTCATTTTGGATAATATATTATATTAACATATTTTCTGAAGAGGCAGCAGAATATGAGTAGCAAAGTCACACTGCCTGGGGTTGAATCCTGTCTTCACTACTTTTTATACATACAGTAAACTCTCTGATCAAAACACGTTTTTCTCTGTAGGATTTTGCCACAGAGACAAAACTATAAATAATATGATGCAAATCTTGTTGAAAAATATATGACATATATTCTTAGAAATAGAGACTGTAAGTATGTGCTCTAATCTCTTCATTGTTACTTGACACCAGGTAGACACAATCAGTTTTCTCCTATTGTTACTCTCAAAAATCTAATCACACTGACTAAATCCATAGTTTCAGCTATTGATGCTATAACTGTTGATCTCCAAATCTAACAACCAACATTTGCCTCCTATCTCTTTCTATATATGGCAAGACTTACATTTTTAAAGGTGAAGCCAACGAATGTCACAAGAATGTTGGAGCCACAGTCAGAATCAGCACTCTCTTTGTGTGGAGATCTGACCACAGAAGAGCAGGCTGCTACAAAGTTATGGCAAAGAAGAAACTGGTCTTTAGCATTCCCACTACTGTTGCTTCCCTAGTCTTCTCTTAGCCATCTCTCCTTAAGAATCTAACATAATATCCAATAAAGAAAATGTGGTATATATGTATAATGGAATATTATTCAGCCATAAAAAAGAATGAAATCTTGTCATTTGTGACAACATGGACGGAATTTGAGGGCATTGTGCTAAGCAAAATGTCAGACAAGAGAAAGACAAATACCATATGATCTCACTTATATGTGGAATCTAAAAAAAAAAAAAAGCCAAGCTCATAAATACTGAGAATAGATTGGTGATTGCCAGAGGTGGGGCATGGGCAAAATGGGCAAAGGGGGTCACAGGGTACAAAATTCCAGTTATAAAATAAATGTCATGGGGCTGTTATGTAAAAAAAAAAAAAACAAAATATAATATTCTAAAGATTAACTAGATATCCCCATTTTAGTGCCTATTTATTTTGTTTATTCACTGCAATATTTCTTAAAAAGGCATTACAGACATTGTGAGAAGGATGTTTATTTTCCAAACACAGATGCTTAGATTTGTAACAAAATTTATTCTTCTTCCTTCAATTTATAAGCACTTGTGACTGTTAGATCCTAGAGTAGGCACTTAGCTGTCTCACTCATCTCGGCATCCCAGCATTTAGCTTCAGGGCTTGGAACATAGAAAGGATTAAAAGTTTGTCGTTAAACTGAATAAATGTGGGCTGATGATCCGCAACCTAGTGCCCTTGTTTAACCCTACTAGACCACGTAACAAACTACTGAAATCTGTTAACGGGTTACTCTTCTCAACTAGACCCGAAGTTCCTCACGTGCAGGGATCTTGTCTAACCAACTTCATAATTCTCTCATCTGTTGCAACTGAATAGTGAGACGTGAGTATTGCAGAGAAAAGTGTGCAGGAAAAAAATATGAGAAATTTAAGACATAACAGGATTGAGTTGCTGGAAAGGCAGAAGAAAAGTAATACTAAAGCAGGGTGAAGAAGATTATACCTTCCGGAGCCTCAGTGGAGCTTTTTGGCACGCAGGTTGCCTTAGCAACTTCGCAGAGCGTCCGCCTCCAGCCAGCCCACTGCCCACCCTTCGCCACGCCTCGCTCTCCGCCCGCTTGCCCGGTACCTTAACTTCCGCCCCAATCTGCCAGCTGGGCCCTAGAGGCCCACTGTCTATGCCCCCGCTTGTGTTGCCTGATTGAAAACACTGCAGCAAATATCTTTAGTTAGAAAAATATTCTTTCCATGCGATCCATACTCTCGTCTGAGGGATATAAACGAAGAGCAGTAGGTATTTGTAATTTGGAGGCTCCGCCTAACATGAGGACCCGAGGCCGATTTTCAGGCAGTACCTTGGACAACAGCAACTTTGGAGGTCCTTCGTTTGCCGAGGGAGACGTGGACCTGAGTGGGGCGGGGCGGTCCCTGGCACAGTGGAGGAAGTGGGGCTACCGCGCGGACTTGGCCTGGGCTTTCTGTTCAGAGCGGCTCCACCATGTGAGTGTTTGCTTAGCAGCCGCCCCAGTTCCCCGCACCGATGCCCGACCTTAACTCTCTGCTGCTCTCTTCCTCAGGTCGAAGGTTTCCTTTAAGATCACGCTGACGTCGGACCCGCGCCTCCCTTACAAAGTGTGAGTAGCTGGGCCGCAGTGGGTCTTAGGGGCTGGGCAGGACCGGGCTGGGTGGTCCAAGCCTTCCGTACAACCCCCGCATCAGCAGCCTGCATCCCTTTCCTCCCCGCGCCCCCGCCCGCGCTCTTCCTGGAGCCTACTCTCTCCCACCCGAGGCCGAGAGGACAGATCCTGTGCCCGGTCCTCTAAGTGTCAGCCTGTCCCTGATACGGGGCTGCCGGGGGCCGTGGGGGACGGGAACGTTGCTGCTGATCTGTGACCTTTTCTCGGAACTCATTAGGCGGGTAGTAGAGCGGGAGGACCTGTAGACATGGCTCTCCCTAAACATTCCCCATCTGCTTCCAAAAGGCCTTTCACCACTTTGACCAGCTGTCACAGGAGGTAAAGGAAGGCTTCCCAGTCCAGATTCCAAAAGTACCTGAACGTTTGTTACTGTCAGGCTTCTAATTTGTGTGTGTTAGTTGCTCAGCAGTCAGGCATCATAAAGTAAAATGAGCCTCAAATCATACACTTCGTATGTTGGGGTATAGCAGAGTGTCTAGTAGGAATGGGAAATGCAGAAATAAGGCAGTTTATCCATGTGGGGCCTTTTTTTTTTTATCCTTTAGCAGTTGAATGACAGCGCTGATCCAACTACATACTCATCTGGACCTTCTTATGATTTTAGGTAAACATTGAGGTTATTGGGGCTGGAAGTCGCGAGAAATGTAGCAAAGAACAGGACTTCAATGGGATTTATGCATAATTTATATGATTAGTATTGTGGTCTACCTAACTGAACTGTACCAGCTGTCATCAGTCTCAGTGACGTAGCTGTCTGTGACCCACAGAACCTTGTAGCCTTTTGCTCTCTCGATCATTTCATCTCCAAATGTCTTTTTTCAGTCTCAAGTATTCGTGGTTACAGCCCAGAACCTTAAGATCTCCAGTAATTTCTGACCTCTAAAATGTAATTTTCAAGCACTCTCATATGGATAACCACGTTCTCTTCTTACAGCTGATTTACTCATATCTCTTCTGTAACAATGTGTCTTTTAATTCATCGATCAGACTGCTTTTGAATCAATCACTAGTCTCTCCCCCATGCCTTCCTGGACTCATTTCCTTACCCAGATTAATTCCATGGTCCAATCACTCTCTTGCAGATTCCCTCAACTCTGGTCTCCCCTACTCCCCAGTATGTTTTGCTTAGTGAAACACCAACTCTGAAGTCAACTCCCGTGTTCTCTGTACATAGCTGAATGTCCCTGGAGAAAATTACACAACTGGGCTGATGGGTTTTATGTAAAATTCATGACTGTGCTCAATAATACCCAGGACTGCTACATTTCTCAGGTTTGCTTGTTTTCTTCTTTATTTTCGGAAAGGATTTTTAAAAATTTCTCTTCAGACGTCTTACAACTCCTTTCCCCATTTCTCAAGCCATTAGAGGAAAATTCTTTCCTCTTTCCGTCACCACATCTGTAAACCCATAATTTCTGTCTCCCATCCTGTTATAACGGAGTATGCCTTTACTCCTATGAAAAGCCAGTGGTACCACTTCGGCTCTGGATCTCATCTATTTTAATTTTCTCAAGATTAAAGTAGATAAGGGTCCAGAGATGGAAAATCAGAGAAATCTTTGATTTCTCCCTTCATACTGGGTTATTCTCATCAATGTGTAAATATGCTCTAGAAAAAAAGAGTGAGAAAGAGGGAGGGAGAAAGGACAGAGTGGGACAGCGTAAGTATCTATAAGACTGCCTAGAACATTGTACCAGTTCAGTTAATATTAGTGACCGAAGGAGTTTAATAGGTATACTTATTGTTTAGTGTGTGTATAATCTATATATGGGTATGTGTGGGTATAAAATATGCATAACACATGTACATGTGTGTAAAAATAGTTATGCTGTGTTTCCTATTCAAAGCAAATAGTAACTAGTACTTGGGTACTAGTAAAAGCAACTCTTAAGATTTATGGGAATGCATGCTTTAACTTTTCAGTATCACTTTTCACTTGTCAAGCAGGTAAACATTACTGTGATAGAGAAACTTCCTTTGAGTTTCTAACATTACTAATAGTTCAACTCTAGAAAGGATGTTTCAGTTCTAAATTTATTCTGGGGATGTCAGAGTTTTTATTGTTTGTTTTGGTTTTTGTTTGCTGATAGATTCGCTATTGGTATTGCTACTAGGTTATAGAAATGTTCAAGTCCAACATTCTCTTATATACAGGATGAATTAGAAACACCTTTGGCTCTTTCCATCTGATTTCAGTCTTACTTCCTACCTCATCTCTCTCCCCTTCCTTGCTATCACCATCACTTAATCAAAGCTTCAGCCACCCTGTTCCCAAATTGACAAGCAAACCCTTTAATCCTCCCTGCTTTTACACATGTTCTTTTTTGAGTTTGGAGTGTAGTCTCATGAGCGCCACTTGACAAACACCACCCTTTAATAATCACAATTTCACCTCGGTGACAATTTCTGTAATTGTCTAGGGAGTCATCTTACCCCTTTTTAGTTTCCTGTAGAAACTTTGTTCTTATTCTTTGTAACAGCACTTGTCGAGTTGTGTCATAGGTCTGTTTATATGAAATACTTATTAAAAAAATAAGTTTTGGGGACCAGCCCCATGGCCGAATGGTTAAGTTCATGTGCTCTGCTTCAGTGGCTCAGGGTTTCACTGATTTGGATCCTGGGCACGGACTTAGCACCACTCATCAAGCCATGCTGAGGCAGTGTCACACACGGTAGAGCCAGAAGGACCTACAACTATAATATACAACTGTGTACTAGGGGGCTTTGGGAAGAAGAAGAAAAGTAATAATAAATTTTGCCAATAATTTACTTTAAAAATTTAATATACAGGATAGTTCCCATTTTTTCAAAACACAAGTGTAATGTAGGTGCCAAATTTACAAAGTGATGCAGCTGGCAAACACAGTGAATTCAAATCTAGGTAGTCTTGAGTCACAGTAACTCCCAGTCTCTCTGGAATTTTCTACCACTTGGAACATGCATTAAAATATGTTTTTAGTTTATGTTTTATTGGATTATCTTTGGGCAGTCTCACCAAATTAATATACAGGTAGAAGTTTATTTTAATAAATATCGATATGACATTAAGTTACGTGTTACAAGGGCATTTCTAGTCTCCAGTTCAGAAGTGAATTGAAACCCTAAGGTTTTGGAAGTTCTCCTCTTGAGAGAGTTTTATAACAAGTCTCAGGTTCTAAACTATAAATGTACTGCAGGAATACTTGAAAAGTACTATTTCCTGTTTTGTAAACTATCACATTGCCTACTTATTAGATATTTTTTAAATAAATGGCTATCCTTGAGAATTTTGTTTTCATTCTCTCAAAAAAAAAAAGGGGGAAAGAAAGGGGAAAAATTGGTATCATCCGTTTTGGTTCTTTAGTGGTACTTAGGGTTGGAATGAAGGTAGCCAAGAAATCTATTTACATTTCTCTTACTGAAAGTCATTATAATGTGCTATGGCAGTTGTAATGATTTTTATATTCAGCAATCTGTAGAGTAGGTAAAGAAATGTGACCTATACATGAGAATGTTACATAATGGTAGTTGGTGTTAAAATGTTAACAATACAGTGGTGACAAATAGAAAAGTTTCAAAGAGAGATGTTACCTTGCCAGTTTCTCTTTCCTGCTTTGAAAGAGAATTTTTTTTCTATCTTTAATCCTTGTAATTTATTTTACATTAGGAATATTATATTGTTTTATTTTACCTTTTTTTAATCTCTGCATCTTGATGTGTTTTCTTAGGATACAATGTCAATTCCTTTTTAGTTTTTAAATTGTAAAATTCATATAGATTATAGATTGACCATTTATCAGTAATCTTTAATATACTGGACACTGTACAAATCAATAGCAAAATCACACATCACTCTCCAAAATGTTTTCTCAGATTGCTTTAAACCCTTTTGTAATGATGATATAAAAGGTGGAGAAGGACTTCACATTTTGCAGTAGTAAACACATTCATTTTCATCAACTCATCTACTATTTTAGACTTGATTATTAAACGTGCACAGGACCGTTCATGAAACAATTTATGATCCGATGAGGCTTCCCAGGTAGCCTCTTCTTATAAGGAAAATGATGACATTCCTGCATCAGGTGAAAGGGTGTTTGGACTGGAGATGATAAAGTAGACTGAAGAATGAGAGATTCAACTTTTTGAAATCCATCTCTGGAAACAAGCTGCAGCATATATGCTAGACCTGTTTGTATCAAAGTATTAAGAAAATGTAAATCTGCACCTGTATAGATTGTTAATTTTCAAGTGGAGCCATGGGCACCTTCTCAGCTATGAGGCTAATTGCTTTGTTTTTGTTTTAGAGTTAATGAACATAGTGTGCAATCAAAGTAGACAACCTTCAGACTCAGAAGACAGCTTTGTCCACGTCTGCTACAGTAGCGGAAACAAAGAACAAATGCTTCGAAAAGAAATCAGCTTTTAACAAAATTCTTTTTAATTCCTCTTGCAGACTCAGCGTTCCCGAAGGTACCCCTTTCACAGCAGTCTTAAAGTTTGCAGCAGAAGAAGTAAGTATAGAAATGG